CGCGACTTCGTCCGCGTGGAATAGTGACTTTGGGTAGAATTTTTAATTATTTAGGCTGCTTATTTATAAAAGGGCACATTCAACACTCCCAGTTCCACTCTCATTCCCATTCTCAAAAAGCCAAAGAAGAAAGTTTCATTGTACTAGCTTCAAAAACTACGAATTTACATCCAAACTTTTCTCCTTTTCAACCCCTAACAACCCTTTTTTTGGCATTAAAAAGCCTATGTACTTTCTCAGGCTCTAAAGAATTTGTGTACCAAATTTCATTTAAATCAGTTCAATAGTATTGGCGTTAAAGCCGGACAGACAGACAGACAGAGTTACTTTCGCATTTATAATATTTCAAGTAACTTGTAATAGATTAGTATAGATTATTTTGAGGATGTAGATATACATAATAATTCAACAATATGGTGTAGAAGAAACGCATTTCCGAGCTAACAGTAAAACCACACAACACCTGCGACCAGTATCCCTTCAAGAGCAAACCAAACACAAATATAACGAGCCACTGTGAAATTCATCAGAGGCTATCCCTTTCTTACACGATATTTGGACATAAGGATGAAAGAGACGGAAGTGTAAGGTGTGAAGCTGATGATGATTTGAAATAAATGTTGTCATAGAACAGGTTAAGTGGAACTATTGATTCTTCATTTTGTCTGCTTATCTACCACTTAAGCATTTTTATGTATGATAGAGGAGGACAAGCACGATTTCACTTTATGGAGGTTGTCCAGCGATATAACATCTAAACAAGATTGATATTTGATATTCGGAGATTCACAAACTGAAACCGAAACGCGTTATACACCATTAACGTTTGAATTTGACACACATTTGGGCACACCCTCCATTTCCCCCCTCCAGTGACCATGGCTACTGCAAAGCGTCTATAACGGAGGTAAAAATAACTATTAACGCGTTATAAATAGTTAACAGTGTTTTATTTAAATGTACTATTCGCGGGTGAGGTCCTGTGTTCGAATCCTGGGAAAACAATAGATTGTTTTAGTCGGGCAGGGCATAGAAGTCTGTTCAAACTACTAAGCTGTTAATAAAACCGATTACTGAAACGGACACAGAAATGTGTTCGCCAGCAAAAAGAGATTACTTTAACTTAAGTAAGTGTCATTAGGCTTGTAATATGTATCGCTCAGCCGCCACCATGGATCTTTAATACAAATAGGGTTGTATCACTCAAAATCGAAAACCTGGCTTTTAAAATTATTGCTTGTCACATGTCAGAATGACATAAAAAAAACAAATATTTTTTTGTTTCCAGCCAGTTCTGGAGATCTTATGGTTTTATTTACATTCGATGGTGGTCCACTACCTCTTTGAAATAACTCTGTGGACATCTTTACAACGATTGAAGAACATGTTATATGGGTTTGTTGAACGCTTGGATACTATGCGGGGAAATGTAATTAAATTTTACATATACTTAGCGCTATAAACATATTTGAAAGAGTTGTGTATCTTCTCTTTATCTTTGATAAAGGATCTATAAATTATCAAAGATACGCCAAGATTTTTTTACATATATGTATTTTCGTATCGAAAATTTGAGTTAGTGTATAGCGAATTAATTCAACATGTTTCTAATCAATTGAAATTTTTCTGACACATGTTGGACTTGACATATAGGTCGACTGCGCATTTAATTGAGATGGGGTAATTCACCTTCCATCAAGGAAACACCACGTTTGTCTTTTCATAAAAAAAGTATTAAAAACAAATAAAAGAAAAATTCTTTATATTCAATTTGAAAACTCTGTCAATACTTTTTAAATAATTCAAATCATCATTTATCGATACAAGACAGGACAACACTAAATCCATGTGTCTGCGCATCGCATAATTTACATCCGTTCAATTTATGCCCACCGTGCATGCGCACCACCAAATCGAGTTGATTTATTTGAAACTGTAATATTATATAGAATCCTTATATATCAAGATTTTATAAACATTAAAGAGAAATTTAAGAAATACTCGTTCTTATTGAAAGTAAACCTTTTAAATAAAACATTTTTAATGGTTTAAAACGCGACATATATTAGTTAGCTTTTGTTTTCATTTATTTTAACTACGAGCGGACGTGTCGGATGCTTTGCAGTAGTGGTCAACCACATGGTCACCAAGTCAGCAGTTCCTCCAGGAAAGAAGACTTATATTGAATCCTGGACGTGGTATACCTTTCTTGTGCTTCGGTACACTATTAGTCATATCTGCTTTTGGTTTTAAAGTTAAAAGTTTAAAGTATGAAATCCTGTTTCATCAGAATGTAATGTATTTTTAATTAAAAATCTATTTAGAAATTTTTAATGTATTTGACATGTATTATGTATTGCACATGATGTGTGTGAAAACCCGTTTCCCCCTCGTGGGGCATGGATCGAACACATTTCTGTGCCCGTTCCATTCATTGCACATGATAGTAACATATAAATTACAAATGGATATTAGATTGAAAAAAAATTACAACACGGGCAGGATTTGAACCGACATTCACAGCGTTCCGTGCTGACCAATGTTCTGTTAGGACACGGTAGCTCGGTTGGTGAGAGCAACAGAATAGAGAATCTAAAATTTGTTTTGAACTTACCACTCTATTTGGATTTTTTTAATACGACACTGCCGTGACTTGTACCGGTGCAAAGGTACGTTAGTTCAATTGGTTAGATCAGCACTGTACGCTATGGATGCCCGTTCGATTCCTGTCCGTGTCGTAAAACTTTTCAATCTAACATCGTTTTTAATTTTATATAATGCCATTCTGTGACACATGTGAAAATATTAAAGTTTAAATATTGAATAATAATATAACTATGTACGTATTTATATAGAGAACTCAGCTGTTACCTGATTAATATTTTCATAATATGTATTACCATTAAAATTTCAAAACATTCGCCGCGACTTATAAAAATTAACAGCTCTAAATGCAAATACCCGTGGAGTGTTGCGTGCAGTTATATAAATAGCTAATTTAATCCTGCGCATGAGTTTATTTTTGCAATGAAAAATGTTTGTAAATGTCACATTTAATTTGTTGTTATGTTTATAATCAGCCGGTGTACTAACAGCGCCGATTTTCTTAGTATCTTAGCTAACATATAGCGTGTACTTCACATTCAATTGTTTGATGGTAGTATTGTAAGTTTAGATTATATAATCCTTAAGTTAGCTACTACTAAATAAGTTACAACGTTACAAAATATAGCTTGTAGTACATATCCTTACTAATATTATAAATGCAAAAGTAACTCCGTCTGTCTGTTACTCTTTCACGCCAAAACTACTGAACGGATTTGAATGAAATTTGGTACACAGCTGGCCTTTTTATTGTGAAGAGGGGATTGTAGGGGGTTATAAGCGGGGGGTGAACAATGAAACTTTCTTCTTTGGCTTTATTGGAATAGGAGTAGGAGTGGGAGTGGGATTGAGAGTGAGAGTTCGAGTACGAGTGATGTGAGGTTAGAGTGTTGCGGCAAAGTAGCACTTGCAACATAGGCTGCCGTAAATGCGCAATTAAATAAATTAATAAACAGCCCAAATAATAACAAATTCTACCCCAAGTCACTATTCCACGCGAACGAAGGGCACAGCTAGTGTAATATAATTCCAAGCTGTAAGTAGAGCTTAATCTAAGCCCACTGATTAGGAAACAAATACAACTATTATATATTTAAGTTGTATATATAGACGTTTGTGTATTAAAGATCGTGTTATTTAGTAGTTGTTTTATATTCTTATATAGATGTCGGGAACGAGTGCAATAAATAATAGAATTAATTTTCTTTGACAAGATAGAAGTCTGATGAACTGATCTAATTGTAGATATAATCGATTGATAAAACGGTCACACGAAAGTGTCTGATGCCCACTGAGATTAACCATCATAGGTCATTAGCACAAAATGTCTGATACGAGAAGGAATGATAATCGCTTTTATGCACATTAAATCATTTTTTAATAACACAAGGCATCAACTGTAAGGAGAAAAACGAAAACAGTAGCGGCGATAGTATCAAATTCATCTTCCCGCCAAAGCCGGCGGCCATCTTGTTTTTTTTTATTTTTTTTATCTGGCAAGCGCATCGTCGCTTTCTGCGCGGCCAGCTTTGATTATACAAAATGGACAGAACATAGTAATTGAGTAATAAACAATGAATGACATATGTAAAACGAAGCCAGCGTATAGCCTGTTTCTAGTATAGCAAAGTATTACTTACACAATATCTATAGTGCACGCGAGTAGTACTCATCTAAATGAAACACTGTAACGGTTCAAAACGCGATATATGTTAGTTAAACTTATTTGAAAATTATTTTAATTACGGCCCTACGTTTCGAAGGCTTTGCAGCAGCTGTGGCCAAGGCAACGTGGTCTCCACGTCAGTCTAAAAGTCATAATAATTTTCAAATAATTTTAACTAAGTAATATGTATCGCGTTTAAAACCCGTTGAAGGGTTTTATTTAAATTACTTACATAATAAGAGAAGCTAGGGCTTATTGTTTGTTTTAAAAATAACAGTAAATATTACTTTTCTATGTAACGTTTAAATTATTGATTTTATTTATCATTAGTTTTATAGTATATTAACAAAACTATGAAATATATCTCTAGCTATCATTGTACTCTAAGCATGCAAGGGGATGTTTATATAAAAAAGCCAGAACTATAAACTCATTATTAGGAGAAACACTTTTAACGGTTAAGTATTCAAAACGCCAATAATTAAAAGTTAAATAAATGGTTCACTTTTCGGGGGAGGCTAGGATGCTACTAAACTTATATCATAAGGCTATGTAGATATGTTTAGAGTGTAGATATTTTATTAATTCGGTATTGTAATTGTAAATTTTGTATCATTGGGCGACATAACCTAATTAGGTTAAAGCCTACTAAATAAAGATTTAAAAAAAAATGGTTCACATTTTAAACCGTTAAAAATGTTTTGTTTACAATGTACATATATAATTATACTCACTCATTGCAGCAAGCCACCATCTGTTGTGTCACAGACACAAGTGTTGTTGTTTGCAGAGTATCCCTCAGACATTTTCGTCTAACACTTTCATCTAACAGTGAATTTTCATTTACTGGCTGAAGCACTTCCTTAATTTTATTAGTCTCTCTCGTTCCTGAAGACCTCTGAAGACTTGCCATCGATCTTCCACTTGTTGATACATCTGTTTTTTCGTTCAAAACGCCTTTGTTCGTCCTGCTAACTGTTTGTCTGTCTGTGTGTCTTTTACCTATTATACTTCTATGTATATCGTCATTATCATCGTGAGGTAAACTTATGCTTTGTGTAATTTCGTGAATATCATTTAAGTTAATAGGTTTCCTTCTTTGGTCATATTCGAAGCCGTAATCCGGTTCTTCTCCTCCGAACCATTCCTTGTCATCCGGTGTTGTATGGTTTTTGAAAAAATCGTCAGTCAATTCCGTTATATGCGCGCCTGGTCGTTTAGCATCCGTGTCGAAAATGCCTTTATTGATATCGTTCAACGTGTTTATTTTTCTCCTTCCATACAGTTGTCTGTAGTATTTCTCCTGGTCGCCGTACATCCAGCATACTTTCCACCACTGTTTGCACATGAGTATGTTCGCCGAATTGGACGATTTTACATGTCTTGTGGCGGTTGTAGACATTTTGACGGTTTAAGTTACTGCGACACTGTCAATTGTTTGTCACTGTTTATATGTTGTTATAGTTTGTGATCATTTCTTTCGATGAAAGCAAAAATAAATAATGACATATAATAATATGTTGTGTATAGTTTACGCGAGTAGTAAGCATTTAAATTAAACACTTTAACGGTTTAAAACGCCAAATTTATTTGAAAAAGATTTTTAACTTGGCCCGACGTTTCGGATGCTTTGCAGCAACCGTGGTCACGGGACTGAACTAATATATCGCGTTTTAAGCCGTTAAAGTGTTTTATTTACAAAATAATATGCTTTGTATAATTAATACTTTTATTAATGTGTCTCCTTTATGTCTTTATATAGATAGTTGTAATTCTTTTTTTTCCTGTGTTATAATATAAGTAAGTAATGCTGTGCTTGTCTGTAAGTTGAATACCTATGCGCTAGTTTGTACAAACGTCAATTATATCTTTTGTATGTATAAGTATTTAGTTGATAAGCACATAAGTAAATAAATAAAGGCCAATGTTGAATAAAGGCGAAACAATAATATTAACCAATTTTCAAAACAAATACGTGATTTGGTAAGTTTGATTTAACAAGTCTCACAGCTGGAATGAGGACTTCTCTCGTACGAGAGAGGGTTTGAGCTTAAAAACACTACGCAATCCCAGTGTGGAATGGTGGGCTTTAATTACTATTGCCACTAAATTAGTAATGACAACCAAGACCGATAGCTTATGGTGCTTTAATTTAGGTACGGGGCTGCTTTAATTTAGGTATAGCGTTTCCTACTTTCGTTCAAGCTGTCACTTGAAATTTCTCAGAAAAATAAAAAATCCCAAAATACCTGCCTCTCCTGATTTTGAACCTTGAACCTCGTCACCACTTATACCTACTTCCCCAAGAAGGCGGTTACAACATTTAGAACTCCCATATATACTATACTATACGATCGTCAACAGAAGAGACTCCTGTTCTTCAGTGGGGCATGGGGCGCATTTCTGTCTCCGTTTTACCAATATCTTTTATACGGCGAAACAATTTATTGTTATCACCAATACATATTATAATTTAAAAGAATTAATGAGATTTGAATACCGTACTTCGGAATAACTCATAAAATATGATTATTGCTTCGAAAGCTTTTAGTATAGTACTTTTACAACTTTGATAACTTACATTAAATGTGTGTCATAAACTGTAAGTTGTATATTTACGATGTGATTATAAAATACAAAGAATTTATGTAATGATTTATAAGAATGTATATGTGTGTATTTATTATCTTATAGTTATCAAAGTAAAAAAAATTGAATTTTATAAAAAAAAACACAACATTTTATAAGTATTGTCTGTTGGTTAGGCGAATAGAACACATTTAAATATACCACGGTTTTAGCGGTTTAAAGAGCGAAGTATATTAGATGTTTAATTAATTTAAGTTCACCCGACGTTTTAAGACTGCAGCAGCAGTGGTCCGAAATATATTTCCCGTTTTAAACCGTCAAAACTCTTATAACTCTTAATATTCCTTGACTTTATGAGATTATTATACCTATTCGTATAAGAGTTTAGAAAGTATATTTTCATAATTATTAATTTTAAACCGTTAAAATACTTTAATGGAATATATATATAGTACATTGACAGTTTCTTAAGCGGAAAGAAGGTTAAAAGCCTTATAATAACAAAATCACAACTCACGTTCCTGGACGAACCATTAAAAATCAATTATCGATAAAAAATAAAAGTTTATCGACTGAACTGCAGGTGGTCGGTTACAGGCTCTTAACCGTTAAGAGCTTTAAAGGGTCAGAGATTCGATTATGTAATGAATACAAAACAAGGAGACGAGGAAATTAAGAGGGATGAATACGAGTCAGCACGATGTTCTTTATGCTTGTTTTTGTTTCAACTACGAATCTTATTACGAAATTCGGACTTTGATATAAGGTTGTTTTTTACGCTTAGTATTAGCTCTATTGTATAGGTAAGCACAATGTTTATATTTTATTTTTTATTTTTTACTCTTCTCTTTTACTATTTTCTTTTATTCACTTTCATTATTTGGCAGTCACTCTAGGTGTCATCTATGGGACATGACTGCAAATCGGCACTGCAGCAAATCTGATGTTGCAGCAACAGCTGAGGGCTGTCCTCTCACAGCACTGTTAATGTATGTGATAATGTATTTTATTATATATATGTAAGAGTTAAATTATGTGAATTTGAATCTTAGAACACTTTTGAACGGGTGAAAGCAAGAATTATATTAGTTAATTTATTTGGAAACATAGCTATACTAAATAAAATGTCGGGCATATAATCCAAGAGTCCAAGGCGGTAATGCGGTCTACGGCGCATCTTGTTTAGTAGTTATGTGGGTAAGGTATTGGATATATATCCTACCATCATAACTATGAACTCTATGCTGGACTGTCTTTCTCTGTCAAAAACGAATCATTCGTTAAAATAGTATGATTCTTGTTTCAAAGTGTCTTATGTAAAATGTAAAACTCATTTAAATAAAACACTTTAACGGTTTAAAACGCGATATATTAGTTAAACTCATTTGAAAATGATTTTTAACAATGTAAAACTCAACAATTCAAATTGTTATACGTCCAATAAAGTATAAAAGCCATCCAAAAACCGGCGGCAAATGAAATATGGACCAGTTCCACAAATTGCTGCCGCAAGCAAAACGTCTCTATGACGAGTTACGCCCCCATATAAGTCCCTTCGCACACTAGGCATTTTTTAACGAAAGATAAAAGGTCTCAATTTTTATAGTACCTATAAGCGCCACAGTTAAAAACTTGTATTCTAAAACTGGTTCTATTTACACGATAAAACAATGAATTCGTAGGTTATGTGGATCAGCGTAAAAAGAGACAAATTTGTTTCGTCATAAACTTTTTTAAAATTCACCTTGAATTTAAGCTAGTGTATAAAATTGGTAAAGAAAGTTTATACATAATATCATATTTTTTATTTTCATTATTGTTGAAAATACGATCGAATCTCGTCAAATGTAGAGATCAAGCTATGTAAATTGTTAAAATTAAAAAGTATCTACCTACATTATAAAATTTTACAGAGATTTACTTTAGCGAGAAACCATTGGATTTTTGATTTATCTGCATGCTTAAAGGACAACCATATTAAGTATAGAGATAGAAAGATAATATTTACATGTTAATGCAGCATAAAAAAAAAATTGTAGAGGAGGATCAGACAGGATACTTACAGACAGTCGACCATACCTATGGTCGACCAATTATTGTGACCCGCCTCTACCCTTTTTAATAACGCTATTCAAATTTAAAAATCGAACCGAACACCTGTTCGGTTCGATTTTTAAATTGTTGGAATTCAAGGGTATGAACAAGAGGCTACCGTGAGTCAGTCTCAGCTGATTTCTTCAGACAATAAATACGAGAAAACAGATGGCGCTAGCGTCTACTACGCTTTTGACTTTGAGTACGACTGCTGCGAAGACACCGAAATGACATGTCATAGTTAATATAAATTCACACTCAATTAACACTTATATTTCGTGTTTTACCCTACGAATAGTGTTTTATTTAAATCGATCTAAAATAAGTTTATCCGAAAAGTATAAAGTAAAAAAATCTTCTCTACCAAAAATAAAAGGCTTCCGCACATACGAAATAGCAGATAGTTTTTTTTTGATGATACATTGTATGTGTATAATCTATTTTGTTAACATGTCCAAATTGTACCAAACCTTTCCTCCGGCTACAACATTAATTACGAGAGTGGTTTTTATAGTTTTATGTATTATGGGTTTCTAGAACCGTTTTCGCAGGGAACGCAATGGAAAACCATAATAATGAATACTTTCGCGTTTTTTTTCTACAATTTCCACTGATTCTTCGTAGCGTTCTTGTTATGTTATTAGCGTAAAGCTTCTTTGAAAATGCTCTAACATATACAAAAAGACGTTTGAAATTAATAAATCGTTCCTGAGATTATCGCGTTTAAACAAACAAACAAACTCTTCGGCTTAATAATATTAGTATAGACACAAGAATCTTTCCACGACTCTAAAACAAATACCTAACATGTGTATTCACGTTTTTGTAGAGTTAATACATTATAAATTTACGAAGTTAAAATAGTCTAATCTTATTAATCAATTGTTAACGGTTTTAAACACAAAATAGAATTGTATGTTTTTAACTACATTGTTAATAGATAATTTGTAAACCGTCATTATTTTTTTGCGTTGTTTTACTACAGATAAATATTAGCAAAAATCTCAAAATTTAAAGATAACTTTAAAACCGAATTTTGTATTTAAGCATAGAATCATCTTAATATTTCAATAAAAATCCTCTAAGTTAAACTAAGAGTTTTTCTATGTAAAGACAAAAGTATTCTCAACTTCATTAAAAGTTACCACAATATTAAAACTTGTTCAGTTAGCTCGTAAAACAAAACCGCTCGGGTCTTCTCAGAAGGCAATTTGATTGCCAGTAGTAAGACATTTGGCTTCGAGGGGCAATTTGCGGTCGACTGAGCAGCGGAACTTCGTCACATTGTCCCCGCTTCATTCCACGTGAAAATAAACCATCATGGAATACAATTCTAGCTTAACATTCACATAATTCATAGATAAATGTGTGGTAGGAATATCGAAATTGCGTCCAAGTTACGAACCACCGTCCACAGATGAGAAAGCCGTTTCTTTTCCGAATATCCAAAGACAAAATAGGTAGACAGGGCATCTGTTGTGTATTTCACCTACCATCAAACCCGTGTTTATCTGTCCTTCTTAATAAAGTTTAAATTTTAAGTAAAACCCTTTTAACGGTTTAAAACGCAAATTTTTTTAGTAATATAAAATTAATCTATACTTTTAATTAAAGCACTCTTGACGGTTATTTTAACTACGGCCAGACGTTTCGGGTGCTTTGCAGCCGCCGTGGTCAGGGGGGCATTAAGGCTATGACGTTAAAAGCTCACTTGTCAAT